ATTCACCCCTGTGCCTTGTTTTCTCCAGTTCGCCATATTTACCCCACTGGAGTGTTTTACGCATTGCTGCGTACCGCTGTGTTCCTGAATAAACCATCTGTTCTGTGATTTACCCTCCTGCGCCTGACTCCGTCCAAAATCACCCACTACAATCAGAGAATTCTACAGGAGATTGTCAGGCCGTCCGTCTGTGAGCTGAAGCTGAGGCGCAGCTTGGTCATGCAGCAAGACAATGATCGTAAACACACAATCAAGTCTACATGAAAATGGCTAAAAAGCGACACATTTTACGTTTTGGAATGGCCTTGTCAAAGTCCAGAACTAATCCCAATTGAGATGTTGTGGCAGGACCTGAAATTAGCAGTTCATGCTTGAAAACCCACAAACGTCTCTGAGTTAAAGCAGTTCTGCTGGAAGAGTGGGCCAAAATTCCTCCACAGCGACGTGAGAGACTGATCAACAACTACAGGAAGCATTTGGTTGCAGTCATTGCAGCTAAAGGTGGCACAACCAGTTATTGAGTGTAAGGGGGCAATTACTTTTTTTCACACTGGGGAATTGGGTGTTGCATAACTTTGTTAATAAAATAAGTATTAAATAAGTGCTCAGGTTCCCTTTATCTAATATTAGGTTTTGGTTGAAGATCTGATAACATTCACTATCAAAAGTAGAGAAAATCAGAAATGGAACAAATACTTTCTCATGGTGCTGTAGTATTTGTACTGTACTGTACGCCACTACACTAAATACACAGCTTCTTCATTTCCTTGGCATATTAACTTATGATGTGTTACTTTTAAATAGTTCATACTTTATTATTCTGTAACTACCATTTTAACATGATATGTACAGTGAGGGAAAAAAGTATTTGATCCCCTGCTGATTTTGTACGTTTGCCCAATGACAAAGAAATGATCAGTCCATAATTTTAAGGGTAGGTTTATTTGAACAGTGAGAGACAGAATAACAACAACAAAAAATCCAGAAAAACGCATGTAAAAAATGTTATAAATTGATTTGCATTTTAATGAGGGAAATAAGTATTTGACCCCCTCTCAATCAGAAAGATTTCTGGCTCCCAGGTGTCTTTTATACAGGTAACGAGCTGAGATTAGGAGCACCACTC